ATTGGATTACTTTTATGGGATTAAAGTGCTTAGCTGTATTTTGTACTTGCTCGCCTTTTACTTAGCAGCTGTAGGTGACAGATGCCCTAGCTATTTTGTCCCACTTAGACCAATCAGGACATTCATGGCTATAGGCTGGATGTGGTGAAGTTGTTTTTTTGCGAGTCGGTTATGGAACAGTTACAGCATTTTGGTGCCTGATTTATATTCCTGCATTCCCTCGTGTCGTGTGTTTCAGAACAGTCGCCGCAACGTTGCTCGTTCTTACAGTCTTTAGCCATGTGGTTAAACCCAAGACATCTGTAGCATTGTGTTACAGGCGACTGATCTACGCATAACACTACTTGATATCCTAGTCTTAGTTTCTGTCCTTTCAGTTTCGCCCACATTTGGGGGGTGGTCTCAATTATTACATTAGTCAACTCCCTTATTCGGCCTTTTGTTCTGCGTAGAACTTTAATAGTCTTTTGTTCATCTTCCAAGTCTGATAATAGCTTGACATTTTGATTGGCGACTGCTTTTATTAACTTTGTATCGTCTAGATCTATCGCTACTCCTATTAAACGTAACTGTGGGTTCTTTGAAGGGAGGGTTGATACTGTTAGTTTTTTGCAGGTGTCCCTGATGGCTGTTTTTAAGATAGTTATATCTTTAGGGGAATCACAGTTAATTATTACTTTTTGATTTTTGATTTTGGTTATTTTGTTTACTCTTACTCCTAAAATTTTCCCTACGATGAATAAGGCTTATGTTCAACAGTTGATTTTTTCAGACTGATGAACAATAAGAAGAATATTTAAGGAATGGCTAGTTAATTTTGTAATAATAATTATTATATTTTTTATTTATTTTTACTTTAATTAATAATAAATATTGTTTATTTTAAATATTTGCTTAAAAGTAAAGATCCAAGTATTGCGCTGGTCTATTAAATTAGCTCCCAACTGTACATCGGTCTGCGCGCGGTCTATAAAACCATCAATTAGTTTTCTATTTTACCTTATATTTACTTCATATATAAACAATACTAACTAGCTATTATTTTTACTCCTTCCTCGTATCTTAAATTTTTTATTTATATCAAGATATGTCTACTTACAAAATACACTGCTGAATATTTTCAGTATACATCGAAGTTGGTAACACAGAAGGTTCGATTCATCTTACCATTCAGACGATCGCTGCAGAAAGTCGGCTTTTTTCAATAAAGGTATTTACATAATATTTAAAAACCCGCCATTTATTACAATACAATACTTACTCTTTAGTGCATCTGCAATGATCTTTTATGCACCCGTTAATCTGAAGGAAATCCCGCTAATGTGGAAGAAATTGATATATTTTTAGAGGATAGAGTGCCAAACGAGCACACAGTCCACCTGATGTTAAGCGGTTGCTGTGGCCTATAGACATCTACATCTATCCTTGATTACGAATCAAAATGCAGATGCGTTGTCGCCCGTGAGGACTAAGATGGATTGCCTCGTTTCCAGTAAAAAGGGTCTCCGGTTCTCTACACTAACCACACGAAACACAGCAGCATTAAACTACTATTTTACGCTGGTATTATGATAATATGTAGCATGATGTAGCAATATGAGTTCTCGTACAATACAATATATTGAATAAAACTATTATTTACGGATTTTATCGCGTTTAATTACTTTAATTTATTTTTATTATTATCCCGACGTTTCGGGTGCTTTACAGCACCCATGGTCACGGGGGGGACTGAGATGTTTGACGTCCCAATGTCATTGTTAGCCCGGCTACCTTCAGTTTTTGAATATTAATTTTTGGTCCGATTTACGCAAAACGAACTTACAGTATCTTGAAGTCTTGCAGTGGTATGCTTGGGTTTGGGTTTAATTTTGTTAATTATAGGATCCCAAGCAGATGGCAGCACCCAACCATCTTCTCTATTGAAATTAGGATGTTTTTTAATTTCAATAGCCTCACGTATCATCCTTGGTAGGAATCGGTGTTCTTTTGCGAGGACTTGTGGTTTATCAAATCTGATGTAATGGTGGGGACGATCCTGAACATGTTCACAGACTGCAGACTTCCCGGAGCGTCGGTGCTTCACGTCAGCTATATGTTCTTTCACGCGGGTTTTTATGGATCTTTTTGTTTGACCTATGTAAAAGAGGTCCTTCAAAAGAGTCATTGCCAAGGCAAAGTCAGAGCACATAGGCAGAATTGGCGAGAGACTAGTTCGTCTTCCTTCTGGAACCCGTGCATTCTGGTCTCTCGCCAAGGCTGTCCAAGGGAATTTCTGTCAGCCATCTCTTCCATCTCTGCACAGGGAGGACGACTCACTGGCCCACACCGCAAAGGAGAAAGCCGATCTTCTAGGCTCTTTCTTTGCGTCTAACTCGACTCTCGATGACGGGGGAGTACGCCGCCGACCATCCCGCGGTGTGAGTGCTCCATGCCGGAAGTGCAGTTCACTCAGCGCTCGGTTCGCAAAGCACTCCTCTCCCTGGACATCCATAAGTCGAGTGGGCCTGATGGAATCCCCCCAATTGTGCTGAGGACGTGTGCTCCAGAGTTGGCACCGGTTTTAACGCGTCTTTTCCGGTACTCCTACTCCCTAGGCGTAGTCCCAAAATCATGGAAGACGGCTTTCGTCCACCCGATCCCTAAAAAAGGCGACCGCTCAGACCCGTCCAACTACCGGCCTATCGCCATCACCTCCTTGTTCTCCAAAACAATGGAGTCCATTGTAAACTGCCAGCTCATGAGGTACCTTGAGGATCACCAGCTGATTAGTGACCGCCAATACGGTTTTCGCCGTGGTAGGTCAGCTGGTGATCTTCTGGTCTACCTAACTCACAGATGGGCGGAGGCAGTAGAGTCCAAGGGGGAGGCATTGGCCGTTAGTTTGGACATTGCGAAGGCCTTCGATCGGGTTTGGCACAAAGCGCTTCTTTCGAAGCTCCCTTCCTATGGGCTTCCCGAGAAATTGTGCGATTGGATCACCAGTTTTCTTGCAGATCGGAGCATCAAGGTCGTTGTAGACGGTGCAAGCTCCGATTGCAAGCTTATTAATGCTGGTGTTCCACAGGGCTGCGTGCTATCGCCAACGCTGTTTCTTCTGCATATCAATGATATGTTGCAAACCCGTAGCATTCATTGCTATGCAGATGACAGCACTGGTGATGCTCTTTACACCGGCCGAGCCAATATTTCTCGGGAAAACGTCTCTGAGTGCCGGGACAAACTTGTGTCTGAAGTCGAGTCTCTGCTGGACAGAGTCTCGGATTGGGGGCGACTAAATCTAGTCCAGTTTAACCCCCAGAAGACACAAGTTTGCGCGTTAACCGCTAAAAAGAACCCCTTTGTCGTATCCCCTCAGTTTCAAGGCACTCCCCTTGTTGCCTCAGCCAGTATCGGAATCCTCGGCGTCGACATATCGAGTGACGTGCAGTTTCGTGGTCACTTGGAAGGGAAGGCCAAATTGGCCTCTAAAAAGCTTGGCGTGCTCAGCAGAGCGGGACAGTATTTCATGCCGGCACACCGCCTGCAACTTTACAAGGCGCAGGTTCGGCCGCTCATGGAATACTGTTCCCATCTCTGGGCTGGGGCTCCCCAGTACCAGCTCCTTCCACTTGACCGCATCCAGCGCAGAGCGGCTCGAATCGTTGATGACCGAGTGCTTTCCGATCGGCTCGATTCACTGGCGCTGCGAAGAGATGTTGCATCTCTTTGCGTATTTTATCGCATCTATCACGGGGGAGTGCTCTGAGGAATTGTTCGGATTAATCCCAGCCGCCAAATTTCGTGAACGCACTACACGGCAAACGTCCCGATACCATCCACACCATCTGGATGCTTGGCGGTCCACCACTGTACGTTTCAAAAGGAGTTTTCTTCCGCGTACAACCTCTCTGTGGAATAATTTACCACCGGTGATTTTTCCGGACCGATACGACCTGGGGACCTTCAAGAAAAGAGCTTACTCCTTTCTAAAGGGCCGGCAACGCACCTGCAATTCCCCCTGGTGTTGCGGTTGATCATGGGCGGCGGTAGTCACTTAACATCAGGTGAGCCACATGCTCGTTTGCCCCCTCTTCTATAAAAAAAAAAAAAAAAAAAAAAAAAAAAAAGACCACATTCTCAATCTAACTTGTACACTCCTGCATCTTGTAGAGGGATATTACACTTGACGGATGGTAAAAATTGACTAATCTTCTTCGGCGGCTTGTAGTATGTTTTAATGGAAGCTCGCTTCAAGATGTAGCCAACCTTGTCTGTGACTCCTCTGACATATGGTAGTACAGCAGGCACACGCTCGACTGTGGCCGGCTTCACTCGGTCACTGTGACGTAGGCGCGGGATCCGAAGCTTGTTGTCTTGCAACACTTGCTTGACATGCTGAAGTTCGGCGGCCAGATGTTTTCTGTCACAGATCCCTCGTGCTCTCTGAAACAAAGATTTACCCACGGTAGCTAACTGTGAAGGATGATGGTGAGATTCACCATTTAAATATCGGTTGGTATGGGTCTTTTTTCTATACACAGTGTGACCAATAGTGTTATCAGGATTTCGAATGACCATGCCTCTAACTCCATTGTGAATTGTATTTTAGAGTTTATAGAGTTAAGGTGGTCTAAAAATGCAGTTACTTTGTCAGATGGTAAAATTGTGAAAGTGTCGTCTACGTACCGCTTGTAGAATCTTGGATTTACAGGAGCAGTAAGAAGGGCTTTCTCCTCGAAGTCCTCCATGAATATGTCGGCGACTATGGGAGATACAGGTGAGCCCATCGCCACACCGTCTACTTGCTTGTAGAACTCTTCCTTCCACAATAGATAGCCAGATGTGAGGCAATGTTTAAGTAATACTGCATATTCAGCAGGCATGTTGTTATCTTCTAGCTTCCTAGTTACAATTGAGATGCAGTCTTCAATAGGTAGGCATGTGAATAGTGACTGAACATCAAAACTGACCATAGTTTCATTGTCAGCGAGATGTAGGTCTTTTATCTCACTAACAAAATGGTATGAATCCTTTGTGTGTGCTCTGGTATGTCCTCTCAGTGGTGCCTGTATTTTTGCCAAGTGTTGGGATAATAATAAAAATAAATTAAAGTAATTAAACGCGATAAAATCCGTAAATAATAGTTTTATTCAATGTGTAGTGTTCGCGTAAATTTAAGAAATCATAATACAATATATATTAAAAAGGCAACAGATTCTTAGCAATCAATCTGTGACCACAAATGAAAGGAGAAAGAGAGGTGAGTCAGTCAGAGAGCGAAATAATGTTTTGCTCCTGTTTATGCGTTTGTATCTCTAATAAATCTGTTACCCGTTTCTTGAACAAATTTGAACATAGCACAGCAACAAATTTGAAGAGCGAGAAACATTTACAAAAAACGTTTTTTAAATTCAAGTTTTATTAAAGTTTTATAGTGTGTGTTTTGTACTAAAAATGTCCAAGATTTTCGCATAAAATATACTCTATATACCACTCCTGGCATCCAAATAGCCCGGATAGACAAACAGACAGGCAGACAAAAAATTTTAAATGGTTATTCATAACTTAATGGCATGCTCCATAAATTATTAGCTCAATATAGGGTTAACGAAGAATACGAAGATACAAAGAGTTATTTTTCAAAGAGTAGTCAAATTTTAAACATAAGTTCAAATATTTAAATAATGATATACCGTTATTGCAGTCTTTACACTTTAATCACATCAGGAACGAGCCGAGGGACCTCGGCCATATTCAGGTGTTTTATTTATGTTTCTTTTCACTTTCTAAAGGCCTCCAAACTTTGGTTGTCCCTGACTTTATATTACTAACGTATTGGTTGCCCTAGACGTGCATGGTCTAAAATGACCCTGGTCCACTCTTACGAAAAACGTAATACAGGATAGGACGATTCAACCCTCATGCAACGCCACCACCACATGCGTTTTTCCTTTAATACCTACCGATATGACACAAAAAAATTATATTATCTGTAGCATTTTTATGGTTAATACAATAAAAATAAAAATATTTGCAGACATATTATTCTAATTTACTCAAACGTCACATTTTATAGGCCACCGATTTTTTTATTTTTATTTTTTATTTATAATTTTGGTTATAATTACCAAACATCTTAAATATTCTTTTTTTAGAAGGAAGGTCAGAATAGTAAATATTTGTGTTTTACGAGGATACTTCTTGGGTAATGAAACAACCTCGTTCGGATATAAAATATTAAAATCAAATATTTATTAGTATAGCGGATATTTTGATTTGATATTTATTTTTAAGGTAACACAAGTAACAAAATCAGATGATTTGGCCGCGCCTACTGGATGCCTACAATACTTTAATGAACCACAGGGCTTTATAGAATCATTCAATTATAGAAATATCTCGAATGTTGTGACCACAAAATATCCAAGTTATTTGGTAATATTACTGTCGAATTATCATTTATTTTTGTTATGTGACTTAACAGTAAACAGTATATGTACATAATTATTCATATCCTTTTCTAGAATAATCTCAATTATGCTATTTGCATAAATCGGGAAAAAGTGTCATGTACCGTCACTTATACAAACGAGGATCAAATGCAAATAGTCAACTATGATACGGGTGAGTCAAGCGGTATTGTTGGGTATTTGGGTAAGGGTCTCTGGGCAACAGCTGCAAGAAAAACCTTCAAACTTTATGATTTTGTCACGTTGCAGATGGTTTGCCAATTATTCCATCACGACAAGCTGGCGTTGAGATATTCAATTGTCCGAGCGATTGGTTGCTGATATCGGCGATAAGGCTCTGTGACGAGCGGCTGAATGATGGCTCTGTTCTTCAGGACTTTTACTTAAACGCCCCCGTTACTGGTAAATAAAAGTGGTTTCAAGACGTTTTATACTTTATACCTAAAAACAATGGAACGTACTAGCCGATCCATCCCTTGAAATTGGAAATTTAGAACTTATATTCTGTAAGTTACCCTCGATGTTTGATGACTTTTCATGAATTAAATATCGAATTTACTTTATTTATTAAGTTACGAGTACTTGAGCCTTTTCGTTATGTCTATAAAAAGTAAAGTACGCTACATGCTGGGCACTGCACTCCTCTGATTTTTGAGAGGGTTTTAGGATTACCATTTGTCTGAATAAATCCGATGTTTATAGGATTTTAAGAGCTAAGACCGGCTTCCGACTGGATTTCAATACAGACCGGATTTTTACCACGCTTGCTATACTTGGTCGCGAGTCGCGCGAGCAAGTTATTACAATAGTTAAGACTCAACTTTCCATGTCGCTTGTGCTAAAAATATAATTCGAAATTAATGTTTATGTATTTAGGAAATACAGCATTACTTTACTCTATTGAATTTTAAATCCGGGACGATGGCTAAAGACCGGACTTCTCTTATAAAATCAGGATTTTAACCAGCTGCAACCGTATAATACCAATTCTAGGTACTGATAACCCTAGCCGCGCTGTCCTAATGTATGCAGCAGACTAAAACATGTTCTCGAAATAGCTAATTTCCCACCTTTGACTAGAGAAGAAAGAAAGGACATGACATAAAGATCGTTAGTTGTAGGAATGTAACGAAATATCGGCGTCTCTTTTTAGCTTATGAGTATATTCGTATGTAAAAAAGGACAACAGTAGTTTTATCATTACCGAATATGGCAAAAATTTTTTCACTGCGGCTGGGCGCCATGTTTTGTCACAGTCAGTGACAACAATTACGACTTTAGTGAGGTGAGTGTGTTATTTTTAATATGTTTCTCTCGTGGAAAATCGATTATTACGAAATTTCTTATTCTATTCCTATGGACCTCTAATTCAGGATAAAAAGTATCCTATATGTTAATTCAGGTCAGTTGTCATTGCAACTTTAGTGAGGTGAGTGTGTTATTTTTAATATGTTTCTCTCGTGGAAAATCGATTATTACGAAATTTTTTATTCTATTCCTCGGGACCTCTAAATCGGGATAAATTGTTTCCTATATGTTAATTCAGGTAATAAACTATTTGTGTGCCAAATTATTAAATTCAAACTAGTCTGATACTTTTGGCGTGATTGAGGAACAAACAAACATTCAAACTTTTGCATTTACTATAGTTTGATTAGTGTGAGTATGATGACTGAGCCTAATTTATTGTCTAAAAAAAAATAAAAATTCTTTGGTTAGTATTTCTTGTTTAGTAATTCCCGGGAAATAAATGTAACATTAATAATAGATAGTTACATTATAAAAACAAAAAAACGACTGCTTAAAAGTAATGAGCAGAAAACATAGGTATAACTTATATATATTTCAGTAATCTCCTTTTAATTTCCTTTATTTTGATACCCCTATCGATAGGTTGAGTAAAAAAATTAAGGACTTACAATTTGGCGCCAAAATAAGTAATAAATAAGTCATATTGATTTTTAAAAAAACCTATCTAAGAACACACGGGTGTTTGAGACGAATCACACGAAAGAATCTTTTCTAAATAAGCGCCACATTGTCGATAATATGTATAGTGCGCAGCACTACGTCAAGCCGCCATCTTTGTGCCAGACTCAATTTAGGTATACACGTTTTTTTCGTAGGTATGTCATGTCCTTTCTTTCTTCTCTAGTCATGTGTCTCAGACATTAGCTTGCAACATATTTGTTTATCTATGTCAGACATGCAGCTGTAAATAAATCACTTGAAAAATCAATAATTAAAATGTATTAACAATTTCAGTATTATCGGTAGGGATCTATAACTCGTACGAATTAACTTGAGACCTGGGCCGATGACGTAATTGTCAATGTACGGTGTGCAAAATAATGCGTCGTAATATTTTTTATTTGAAATTTTTGAGATTTGCATGAGAATATTAATAAAAACAAAATAAAATGTTCTGGCAAGGGATGAAGTAATAAGTGATATACTGTTGCCATTTTTATATATTTTAAATATTTATTTTTTATAATATATATAATATTATTTTTAGTAACGCGTCAAGGAAGGAAAGAAATAAACATACACACTTTCTCATTTATAATATTATTAATTTATTTATTATACACTTTATTGCACTATAAAAAGTGTTACAGATTCGTACACAATAAAAATACAAAGCATAACAGGCGACCTTATTGCTAAAAAGCAATCTCTCCCAGGCAACCTTAGGGTGAAAGTGAATCAATCTTGGATAAGCGGAACAGCACAAACTATGTAAAATCAAGGAATAGAAGTAAGGAATATTAATAAGGATTTATTATAATATTTATTATTCATTGTTAAACTTAACAATAAAATAACGCAATTAACAACAAACAGATAAAATAACGTTCAAGTATAACAAAAACAAACAAAAGTCCAAACCAAACAAAAAACAATTATCAAAAATATCGAACTAGAGTCGAGACGCGTATCCGTAACAAAAATGCTATCGGTAATGAGCGCGCACGGCCAGCGCGGGACGCGGTGCGGGGAGTCGGGAAGGGGGTCGCATTCCAGCGGAGTCTCAAGTTAATTCGTACGTGTTGTAGCTCTGTTTGCTCTTCGTACTATGAAGTTTTAGGAAGAGCGTTTATCACCTGAGCTACTAAGACTCTACGTTTTCTATACCCATAATAATTCATACAAGATAAGATAACCATGGCTCTATCTATGTTTACATTTCAGATTATATTTACTTTTATGTTAACTGTATAAATCGTGACAGAAAATTACTTTTTATGCTACTGGGAAGGTTAACTTAAACATTACCTGAAATTGTAATTTATGTATACATTGATTTTTGTAAAATGTTATTTTTAAGTTTTTTTTTAAATATTAGCTAATAAGTAATCAATCTTTACATATTTACTGTGTAAGTGGGTACTACAGCAGATAGACCCCTGTAAACATATTCAAATAAGTCTACAAAACTGTCGTTGTCACCTATGATTCCTAAGATCGAATTCTCATAGCCTGGAAGTAAACGAACTCTCTAACTTATGCACTCTCATGCTCCTTGAGCCTGAGCCAACTATATCCATTAACTTCGTGCATCTCTTACCAGGTCTTCACCCAATCTAATAGGGATTAGACTTTATAGTTTGCAAAAAATAGAGAGTATAGAAATCTGGCCTAAAAATGGAATTTATTTAAGCTTTCAAGCGGGAAGCTAATAACTAAAATAAGTCTTCAATAAAAAAAGTTGTTCCTTTCTATAGTTTTAATTCCTAAACTGCTTAGTATTGGCTTTTCAGATACTGGTGCTGGTCCCATTACTATTTGGTTTAGATCAGACGAAGGTTACGTTGGCCGGGGCTTCAAGCTGCAGTATCAACAGAATCCTTGTGCAATCTATTAGTAAAATAAAACAAAATGTAATTATGACTTTTTAGTAAATAAAATTAATAGTGAACATTAAGTAAATCGATTTCTCGGAATTTTATGTAATTCTTCTGTATATTATGTCTTAAGGCTTCCGTCTAGCTTTGCTGTTTTACATTCCCAGCCATTAGAGGGGGCGCTCTCCCTCGTGCATAAATACGATCGAGATCGCAGGTGAAGGTGCTCTACTTTATTAAATATATAATTTATTAATTTTCTTTTTCAAAAATATTCCTTTTACTTTTGTCGTGGTAGTATAATTTTTTACCCTTTTATATTTCATAAATGTCGTTTTTAGTAATGTTTATACGGGGTGTAGGTTTAAAAAGGGTATATACAACCGAAGGAAAATAAAAACTGCCTCATCATACAAATTTCGCCTCTACCTTGTACATTTTGTACTTTACTACTACTTTTACTACTATTTTTGCTGACACAAGATATTTCTTCTTTTTTTCTATCCATCTTTTTCGGTTTTTTTGGTAATAAATTGAAATTCTCCAAATATAAAGGTCCAAGTTAATTAGTCTAATACTAATATAAACACTAATACACTAAAAACTAGAACTAATATGACAATTAAATAAAAATAATATATATTTAAGTAGGGCAATTTTCACGATATGCTCCGCTCAGTCCATAAGAGCTGCGCGAGGGAAAGAGATCAACCGTGCGAGCGAGAGGTAAAGTAACGTTGAGCAACACTGCACACGTCTGAAAGGCGAGAAATCCCAGCGGAACTGAGAGAATTTTCAGGCGTTTCTGGTTTATAAATGGAATATATATAATGGAATATGGAATATATATTTCCAGTTCACTTGAAAATAGTTCTATTTTATGTGGTTTTAAGTACGACTTTGCTACATTTATACTTCTAATAGAAAAAAATAGATATTTGCAGTTAAAAAATCATGAAATTACAACTTTTTAAGCCCTTCAAATAAGAAAATTAAAGCAATTATAAAAAAAAGTGACCAGATCAGATTATTGTAGACAATATGTAAATGTGATCTACATACTTTTCTTGATATTGTTATAGTTTGTACATGGCAGAGGCTTTAATAAGACCTTTTACGCATGTAACCTAAACATAGGCATGTTTAACGCCTAATAGAGCTATTAATTTAAACACCAAAATAAAATTAAAAAACAGTTTCGAAAATAAGTCCCACACTTTAAAGAAATATAAAATATGTTTCACTTTTTCTTTTTTTAAATACTATAAAAAAATATTTGTTTTGCTGTAAATTTTGCGAGAACACAATTTTTTACAAGACTGGGGCCTTAACACAGGTTTTAATCGTTACCGTAATTTTTCATAGTCAACGCTCACCGCACCGGTCCGCTACTATAAGTCGCGGAACGTAAGTCTAGCGCTGAACGAAACGTGGAGGAGATAGCTGCGCATAAGTACTGTCACGCACGCAATACAATTATTACTTTAATTAATTACATAATAGTATTTAGCTTCTAATTAATTAATGTAATGATTGTTAATAATAATGATATTATTTTATTGTAATGTGTATATGTGGTGTGAATGCGTGTATAAATTGTGAATATTATGGTTTATGGTTCCAAATTCCAAAAATTTCATGTTATCTAGGATATAATTTTCAACAAGTCAAAGAAAAATAAAAACATTCATGAATTTTCAATTTTTATTTTAGAAATATAAAAAAACTAGTTTCTAAATTAGAGATGGGCAAAATGACAATGACACACATTTACACTTCCTATGCTGCCCTTTTCTTAGTCTTAATTAGACAATGGTATCACGCCTTCAATGGTATAATAAATAACAAAAACTAAAAAATGTACATAAGAATTTTGAAATCAATTATAAATAAAATTAAATAACTACATAAATATAAGTCATTTATATTATTTAATTTATTAGTAACTGTAGAAAAATGTCACTCCATTTTGTATTTTACATTAGATGGCCCTGTCTTGAAAAAGTGAATGCAACAATTATATCGTAGATTTTTGGCGTATTTCAATTTATAACGCAATGGCTTAAACTAATTTTGGGCTTTCTTTATTTTAATGAAACACATCAAACGTATAAAATAGAAATCAACATCTAAATCTAAAGGAAGGAAAATACTTAATCTTCCTTTTTTTGAAGTTTCGTAAGCGGATAAAAAGTAGCCTATAAGTAGCCCCGGGTCCCTAACTACCTACGCACAAAAATGTCATAGAAATCTGGTCTGTAGTTTTTGCTTGAATCTTGAATACACAGACAACTATAAGGACTTGTTTTTTCCAGAAAATATAATGGACACCACACACGGTCAGTTTAAGTCATCAGTTGAAATGATATCAGTTCAAACGGATTTAAGCCAAAGAAATTACCACACATACGGTCAGTTCAATTGATCATTCCAAATGATTAGCTCAAACTAGGGTTGTTGATATTTTTAGAATGTCCGATTTTCGAGATATCGATAACCATAAATATATCAATAACGGAGTTTTATGTATTGTGAGTTAATATACAGTAAGTCAATCGTAGTTTATATATTGAAAAAAAATATAGATATATCGGTTTGATTTAAAAAAAAACAATCGTAAGTCATTTAGTTTAGTTCATTTATTAAGCAAATTAAAATATAAATGTATGCAAATGTTAGATTATAGTTCTTATTAATTATATTTTATATTAAAATAAAATGATTATGTTTACCAATATTTTTCAGTAAGAGTTTTCAATAATACTCGTTGTTTTATATTGTCGCATGTAGCAGAAGTAATCAAATATTTAACTGTTTTTTAGATAGAACGGGAGTCTGAACTGTCTACCCAGCAGACAGTCGATGACGACAGTAACTCAAGTTCATAAGACGCCTAACCGATCAAAATAATTTGAGGTTTACATTAACATCGAAGCATTTGTTTCGTCGTTTTTTCTAATAGTTTACACGCGCAGATACTTAAATCACCAAATCGCATCACTTTTACGATTTAAAATCCACTTCAAACCATTGTTTAAGCGATAAAACAGAAGCAAAAATCCGTTGAAGGTCAAGTTCCCGCCAAAGCACACAGTTAGTAAAGTAGTTATAAGTTTCGTAGATTGTAGTAATTTTAATACCACAGAGATATACTATACAAAATTACATTTCTTTTTAAGATAATTAGCAAATAAATAAAGTGGAGAAAATTAATAGAATAAAATAAAGTACAGAAGATTGGTTAGTAGTAGATTAAATAATTTACGAGACAAAATAAAAAATTAAAACTTTTTATTGAAAAAAATATCGGCTATTCTATCGGATATTCATATTTTAATGCTTAGCCCACCGCGCAACCATGGTATCGCCCCGCCTCTGCGTCGAGCCGAGCTTCTGTCACTCTTGCTACCTGCGTGAAATAATTACTTAAAATCGCGATTCACCCAGGGTGTAATTAGACGTGGGTCGTTACGTCATTTTCAAGAAACGTAACGAAACCAGTGACTTGATCGGCGTCACCTGTTTCAAAACTAGTGATTTTTGTAACTGGCTATTTTTATTCGGCTACTGTGATTGTTTGCATAAATATCACCACCAACTATACAGTTACACATGAAACGAAAATAAATTTAATCACAATCTTTGTTTGTAGCTGTACAGTAACTGTATACTGTTAAATGAATAAATTAACTTCTCTTCATACTTTATTCACGTTTAGGTCTGACTGCATTAAATGTATTTATGATTGATTTGCGTTTACTATGACACTAAGATTTTCATAAAATTATTAATGCAGGCATATTTATAAGTCAATTTGATTGCATATACAATGATTATTGATATTTACAGTTTATTTACACTTTTTCAACGTTTTCACTATCATTTGTTTTTGCACTTTTATTTGCACTGTACAATTAATTTGTTTGTTTCAGTAGTATAATATTAAAACAATTTTTACAAAAATGAATAAAATATACCCGTCAAAAATGTTTTGAAAATTATTTTAGTTAAATTCAATGTGACTCGCTTCCCGAATCGCAACCGTTGAAATTATTTACAAACAGAGATTACTCTATTTTATTGTCTATGTCTATAGTCTTACGCATGAAATTTAAACGTATAATAATACTGTTACTTACGATGTTTTGTTTATTGTTGTATGCCACATGTGCGCTTTGCGCTCGACCGACCGACAGTCGACTCAGTATATTAGAAAGTACTCTGTGCAGTCGACTCCCGACAGTAATCATAATCACGCATTTACAAAAATCACTACTTGTCTAGTGATTCGGTTACATGCCGCGTAGCCAGTTACTGTATCTAGTGACGTGAAATAACGCCCACGTCTAGGTGTAATACGCAGTCGGAGCTAGCGCGTTCTAGGCGATTGATGTATTTTTAACGCTGTTTACGTAAATATTTTTTGTAAACACTTGTTGTAATTTTTGTTTAGTGTTTAGTATTTAATTGTAGGATAAAATAGTTCAAAAAATTTTAATGTGATTAAAAAATAATATATGTGTATATATAACCTATCTATTTGATAAATTATAATGACAAAACTTCGAACCTACTATAATTGTTGCGTGGATGGATGCATAATATTTTAAATTATCACAAAGAACTGAAATTAAAACTTTGTTTACAATATTTTTAACTAATTAGAATACTGATTGTATTCTAATTAGTTAAAAATATTGTTTTTTTATTATTCATATATATCATATATAATTTATTCATTTCATTTAGGAATCGTATTTCAGGTTCAGTTACTGTTGTTGTTTAAACTACCTACCTATTTCTTCCGATCGATTTATAACATCGCGATTCGCGACGAGTGACCTTGCACGTCGCATGCGTTAGGCACAGAATTCGCATAGTAGCATCGCAAAAATATGTTCATTCGATCAGTCAGAATATTTCGCAACGTTTAATTAATTTATTTATTTATACTCTTTATTTAACGCACGAGTAGCACTAAATATTATTTATCCTATGCCTTGAAGAAGGAGTAAAAAAT